TTCAAAACTTAAGAATAGAAAAGTCTTCATATCTTACCTTTGAACACATATTCTATTAAAACAAGCAATGGGTCAACAAAGAGAATGAATTCATAACATAAATATTGCATGACGGTGAGTTTAATGTCTGTATAAAAACCTGTTAGTGTTTCATTGTCATCTTTTCTCACGATAATCTGGACCACGGTCATGATGTATTCTTATTAATGTGTATTTAAACAAACTGGGCCAAGTACATTATGCCTTATTCATGAGCAGCTTAAGCTCTTCAGTAAGTAAAAGGAAACTGCTAAACTGTTGGGAAGTACCTATGAGTTTAAGGTAAATCCATTCTGTTATATCTTTTAATAAATTCCTAGTAATCCAGCCATTTAGTGATAGCTAGAAGATGTTGATTTAAGATCTTTATACTGCTGAAGTTCCAAAGTGGCTGCTACCGTTTCATGGCTTTTTGCAGCACAAAGAAGGAGATGCAAATGCCTGTGCTGATTTTGAAAATACTAAGCTAATTAATGTTGGGTTTTATAGAGATGGCAGCCTTAATATGAACAACATTTATGATAAGTCTGCAGAAACGGTGCCTAGAGCAACTGGATCATTAAAAAAGGAGTGTCTGTTAAGCATTATTCACTCTTGGTTCTGAATTGATAAATAAAGGAGTAAGGAACAGTTATAGGAGACTTTAAGTATAGAGTGATAAAACAAACTCCTACATTTCTGTGGTGTATATTTTATCCTAACTAGATGCAATTTACTTAAATAAGGCAATTTAATCAGTATTTAGTAAATTTGTCATTTGATATTGTAGATTCTTTCATCATATTTCACTTTAATCAAGAAAGGTAACACCTGTGGTTTATTCACAAAAGCCGCTTTTGTTCAGCGAACACCCGCAGGTCACGAAGCAATTACATTTGTTGCTTGTGCCCAAGTAGGAGGCACTTAAATAGACCTTAGTAGGGATAGATGAGAACCTGCAGACTTTATTCTTTTGTCCAGCACTGAGATTAGTTCTTCTCATAGCTCAAGAAGGAAGCCTCTGCACTGAAAAGAAAAGATGGGAATGATTTAAAGTTCTTCTTAAGTTGGAAACTTTGATATTGCTGGAGGTGATGTGAATACCTGTGACCTTAGGAAAGTTCAGGCTTCATCTACTCCCAGCTGATTGTACATGCCGGTGTTCTTTGACAAACAGACTGCTTGGAAATCCCAAAGGAGGAATTGCAAGAGATTCACAGTTAAAAAAAAAAAAAATCCCTATTTCTCCATCTTTAGTACCTGCCCAACAAAAAGCAACCAAACCAAAACCCCAACCCAGACCACAGAGCCCATTTTTATTTGCTCAGGTTTGAGGTATTTTTGAGGTGGATAATTTAATCTGGTAATCTCACCTGCAGTATATTAATTTCCTGTATGCCAGTTTGCACATACCAGAGCGCAGGCAGCTCACCTCGTGGTTTTGAAGTTCGTGAGGTCACATGATGCCAAACTTGGAGTAAACAGACCAGAAGAATGTCATTTTTTTGTTGATCCCCCGCTGGCCATGTATGTAAATTAATGTTTTAGGCTAGGAAGTACGTGTGAGGCACCTGACCTGTGCCTTGTTTCTGCCGTTTTAACTATACCGGGAAGTAGAAGACAAACCGTCCGGTTTGCTGCGGTGAAAGACACTGATTTATCTGAGCCGAAACAGAGGAAGTGACTGCTGAGCTCAGTTGTTCTACACGATAATCTTGCTCTTCTGCTCTACCTGCTCCTGTACTAGAGCCCTGGAAAGGAGCAGGGGGCAGAGTCATGTGTTCTCGTGCATATAAGCTGCCCCTCAGACAACCCGTTCTGCCCGAGAACTGCTGCTCCTTGGACATAAATCCGCAGCTAATCTGCTCAAAACCAGAGGCGCAAGGCTTGCTGGGCAGGGAGCGTCTGCAGACGCCCAGAGGCAGCGTGTTCTCCTGTCAGCCTGCGCTGCTGGGGAGCTGCTGTTTTCCACGTGGCCCGCCGGTTAGTCCTGTGACAGCGCAGTTGTTGAACGTTGCTGCGGCCGCAGCCCGGCTGCGCGCGGTAACTGGGGTTGCAGCTGTACTTCTTCCAGACAGGTAACTCCCAGAGGTCCGTGGATGCCAGATGCGACACTCTGAATTGTCAAGCACAAGCGGCTTTCCCGCTGCCTCGGGTTTTTTTGGCAGTCACAGCCCATTGGTGGGTAATTAATACATTCTTACTGCAAATGCAAGTTTTCTATAGTTATTTTTTTTCTTTGGCTAAAAACGTACCTTATTCCCAGCTGCTGTGCTTGCGTAGCTTTGAGGTGCTTCAGGCTGGGTCCTGATTCTTCAGAGGTTGATACTGATGTGAGTTCTCCCGCCGACGTCAGTGATATGCTCCAGAAATAGCTTGGTGCAGAAACCCTTGCTGGCTTCTCGCTTTAGCCTTTATTTTAAAGGGGTGTATATAACTTTTTTTTTTTTAAATTAATTATTATGGCCTGTCACTGGTATTTGGTTTCACATTTTCACGTAATCCATGTGCTTCCTGCTGCTTGTCTTAGTGCGAGGTTGCAGTGAATTGCCTAGGTGATGGACAGGCACTGTGCAGTGGCACTACGCTGCACGAACTCCAGATGAGTCGGATGTTGTGACAGTACTCAACAACAAATCCAGCGGGGTTGGGTCCCATCGTGCCTTCTTCCCTGGAGAGCTACACAAGCACCCAAAGTGGTGAATTTGAGGCTATAGGAACATCCCTTATTGCAAATGTTTGATCTGGGATGCAAACTGTGACCGTCATGTTCAGACAAGGAATTGGTAGTATCAGAAGTAGTAAGCGATGTGCCACGGGTGGCAAAAGCACTTTATTTTCTATACGCTTTTGGAGCATGGAGGAAAGAGTCGAGAAGTGGTTAGAATACTTGTGTTATGAGTGGGTCCTGATTTCACATAGTAACAGATGAGCTTCATGTTCTGCCGACGAGTCGGGGAAAAGTGAGAAAGCCAGTGGAAGTAGAAGGGGAGCTGGTCATGTCCTGCCGGTGAAAGTGATGCTTTTTCAGCAATGTGAAAGGTTCGGCTGGGTTTGCTTTTTCATTTCATTTAAAAAAAATGTCCCTTTCAAAGTCATCCATGCTTCTGTGTATTTGCTGAGACAGTCTCAAAACGACGGTAGTTTGATGTATGATGTGTCGTTCTGGTGGATGCTGGAGAGTTTGCACCAGAACGTGCTTTGCCTTCTGGTACGTCCATGGAAACCAGAGCTGCAAGAGGTGAATGCTGTAGGTGGGTACGTGGTGAGCAAGTGAAGATGAGTATCAAACTAGCCTCGCGCTTTCAAAAGGGCTGCTGTCATACTGCTGCTGTGCCGCTCCACGTACAGCTTCTAAATGATGGGGGCGGATGTGCCCTCTGACATGCCCGACGCACTTATCCTGGATACCGGAGAAATCCAGGGAGAAGACGAACGGGCTCACGTATGCTTGCTCTGCCGCTGCCAGAGACCGACAACTGGTTCTTAATCCGTAGCTTAACGCGCTTCCCCCAGTCGAACAAAGGGATTCTGGGTAGCGGGCTATCCTCACGTCCCAGTCTGCCAACAGGCAGGCAGGAGCACGACTGAGCAAGGGCCAAAAAGGCTTATTTAAGGCCAAGGTTCCCCGTAAGTGCTCCCTGGACGGATACCTGTTGGTACCGACAGTTACACTTCAGCAGCACTGTCCCGACTGCAGGGGCACCTGGTTTTATTCTTAATGGTTCACATCCAGACTTTCCTACTAGAGCGGTATTTTTAGTCTGTTATCCCTGAATTCTGGGTATGTAGGCTATACTGAAACATTCATGTTTTATTGCTCAAAGTCTGTGGTTTTAAAATTTTGTTTCAGTATTTTTTTTTCTCTGAATTTTGGGCATAGTAATATTTAAAGGACATAGTAATATTTAAATTACATAGTAATATTTAAAGTACATATTTGATTTTGGAAAAATGTCTGTTAACTTAAAGTCCCTGTTAGATATTATCTAGATGGAGAGTATGTTGCGTCTTTCAAATTTTCAGCCTGGTTTAGAATTTTAGCAACAAAACAGATGAGAAAAAAATAATTAAGTCTTTTATTGGGTGACTTGCACAGGTTACTTACGTCTAAAATGTTGTAAAAAAAGCATATGAAAACAGTGTTGTTTACTCCAAGCGGAAACCTCAGTTTAAGACTTACCGTAACAACTTTTTCCTATATGAAAGCTTTACGCCCTTATTTAGGTAACTAACGCAGTGGTGTTGCTGTTTCTCATTTTGTCCTTGAGTCAGTCTGTGAATGCCATGGGTCCATGGTATGTAATATAGTTAATGCATAAGAGATATAGGCAATGGAAGGTCTCTGCTGTATAGTATAAGGTCACCATCATTAATTTTCAAATTATAAAAAGGGATTTGCTGTTTTGTGATCATCATTATTGCAATATAATGTGTTGTGGATTCTGCCTGCACATAAAATGAACTGTGATCTTAATTAGAACTTTGACAAGCCTACTCCGATAAAATGATGAGATTATTCGTAATTGATGTCACAATCAATTACCAGTTAGTTCATCATGAATCTACTAACAGGTCTAGCCTTGGTGCTGGCCCCAGGATGTTGATGAGTGTGTGGCTGCCCTGTTCATGCTGTTACTGCGACAGGAGGGCAGATTTTCAGTCAACATCCTAATGACCTCTTTTGAAGTCTATTAAATTAATGACCCTGTCACATTGGTCTAACCTCTTACATCTTCATTTTGGATTTTTTGTTGCAAACCATTGTTTTTTGAGCACATGATAGAACAGATACTTTGGAGCACTCCTCCTCATCCCTCCAAAGCTGGCACTGTGTTTTACTAGGTTCAATAAAAAATCAGTTCATTATACAGTCATGACATACAGATCACAGAAATCAGAAAATACCCTGTAAGGCAAACTCTGCTTGATTCCATCCTGGGCTGTTTTCTTTTTTACATTTCAATCTTGCTTAATCATAGGTGCCTAAAGGACACGTTTGGTTAGAAGGTGACAACCTCAGGAATTCTACAGACTCGAGGTGCTACGGACCTGTTCCTTACGGACTGATAAGAGGACGGATTTGTTTTAAGGTACATATGTTTATAATATCTAAAACCAGTTGCATTAAGACATTTTCATTGCCTGGGTGTTAGGTATTAAACTCACCTCCTTAACCATCTGACCAACACAGATGTAAAGGAAGCTTGGGCACTTGCTGTAAAGGGACAATTCGACAACAGTGGGGTTTTGGAGGGACGACTTGTTTGTTGAGCAGCACAGTCTGAGCAGTCACTGCCTCTGCAAACGGAATGCTTTGGCAAACCCGATAAACCCACAAACCTACACACTCCTACACCCTGCTGCACGGACATACGTTCCATCCTTAATTCCACTCTTGCCTCTGCAAAATGGTAGGAAAGGGCAAACCTCCACAGTTCCTTCTCCAACTCGTGTGCTCGTATGGAGAAACTGCCGTTCAGTACTCGAAGGGACTATCTGTGAAGAACCGGTGTGTATGGACAGCCGTACTTATTCCCAGTACCCTCCGCAGCAGGAAGTTTCTGTCCAGCTTGTACCCCAACAAGGAGGATGTTGGAGCATCTTTGCAGTGACTGACAGGACCGAACTCTAAATTTAGCAAGCAGTAAACTCTAGAATGAAGGGAACTTACACACTTCTCACTGAAGGACTACTTGAGGACTCCAGAATATTGTCTTTTTAAAAAGATAGCGTGCAATCACTTGATACTTAATCAAAATTATTGTTTAATTGTTATTTTGGAGCAGTTGTTTTACAGTGGTGCACAGGGTACTGATTATTGACGTTTTCATGAGATTTAAGTATATGGTGCCTAACAAAAGCAAAAATGTGTTTATTCTTCAAATGAATGTTTATAGTTTGGGTTGTTTATGGTAACTCTTAAGTGATTCTGCTATTGAACATTCCAGTGAAAGGCAGCACAATACCGCTAGTCCGTGTGGTGGCAGCCAGTTAGCAGACCACTGGCCAAGAAACCTATGTATGCTTTTTAATTTAGTCTACTACAGGTTTGCCTTCTTTTTCACGAAAAATCTCTTACTGCCTTGAGGATGGAAGCTTAGGTGGCCTTATCTTAAAGCGGATTTTGGATAAGCAGATCTGACACTGCTTTTTAATGCCGTTATGTTTTTAGTAAGGGATGCAAAAAACCAAATCTAATTTGGAAGTAACAGATTTCAACAGGAGAGAGAGAGCGCTCATGCCAAGTGTGTTCAGGCAGCCTGCTCTTGGCAAAATGTAAATGCTAATTCCCTCTCTAGCTCTCCGTCAGTGTTGGTGCACCAGTTTTTAACACATACAGAAATAATGATACTTGATTTTATTTGCCCCTTTTCCTCCCTGCCACCTCCCAGCCACCACCCTGCGAGAGAGGTTCATCCCACAAAAAGGCCATGGAAATCAAAAGTAGCTGCAAATTCAGCAAAGGCCGAGGAGTCTCACTTGACAGAACTCATGCTTCATCCTGTTGTAGGTAGGATGTCCTGTGCATTCCCTGGACTTAGGCTCCATGTCAAAAATAGACCTGTAATGTAGCTTCAAAAGAGCTAGTTAGCCCCATTTATCCCCCATCCATCAGATCAGATCTATGTAGGCCAAACCAAAGAGGGCAAGGGGAAATAGCTGCTAATTGGACTAGCCAGTTTGAACGAACAAGTCACAGTCAACTTCTGTCATAACTTGGGAATTACTACACACGGTGGCATGTCTTTGTTTCCCACAGAAGGCTTGTTCCGTCTCCTTTCCAAACACGAGTGTCGTTTTTCGCATTCACCTCATTTTCATTCTAACCCTACCACTAGGATTACAGGGATGAATCTGAAAGTAAATTGTCAAAACAGCATTTAAACCAAATTTGATTACTTTCACTGCAAGCAAGTCAAGTTGCAGTAGGTGTGATTTGAGTTGCCTGAAAGGAGATTTGTGTTGTAGTGAATGCCCTAAGAAACTCCTTCTCTGGGCCTTTACTCAGACTTGTAATACGGGATATCCCTATTCCCTTTTACTCCCGCTCGCCTTTGATGCCAAAGACTTGACACCCACCCTGCAGCCAGAGAGAGCCTCTGGAGAGCTCTGAATTCCACAGCTTTGCTTCTAACCAGGATCAGAAAGCTCCTTCTGTTGGTTCCTGTCTCAGCAGAACTTAAAACAGCTTACTGGCCAGAGAGACGTGACGCTACCTCGGGATATCCCTATTCCCTTTTACTCCCGCTCGCCTTTGATGCCAAAGACTTGACACCCACCCTGCAGCCAGAGAGAGCCTCTGGAGAGCTCTGAATTCCACAGCTTTGCTTCTAACCAGGATCAGAAAGCTCCTTCTGTTGGTTCCTGTCTCAGCAGAACTTAAAACAGCTTACTGGCCAGAGAGACGTGACGCTACCTCTGCGTCAGTGCTCTTCCCTAACTGCACGTGCCAAAAAAGACCTTGATTTTCTTGCACAAGACAGCTTTGAGCCTTTTTCGGATGCCCAGGATTTGAAGTCCTGTGAATGACTCATCCTTCTTGTCTTCCCGAGGGCCCAGGCGCAGTCCTGCTGATGGCAGCTGAGCACAGCGCCGCAAGGGGCCTGGCAGGGCAGGCCTGGGGAGCTTCGAGCATTGCCCGGTCCCAGACTAGCCGTGAGTTGATGCTCCTGTGTCTTGCTACTCAGTCTCCCATCCTGAAGTGCCTCTGCCTCTTCCGGCATTGTCTTTTGGGCTGGGCAGAAGTCATGGGGTGTGAAATACTGAACCTTGGGACTGTGCTTCCTCTTTTACACTGAGAAAATTACTTTTTACCTCCAGATGGAAAGCATCAAAGGCTCCTGTGCCGTGCATGTTCCACGAACTCGGTTAGAGGAGCTGCTGTTCCTGGAAGGTGACTGCATGCCTTCCTTAGGATCAAACTGTCAGGAGAAATGAGCAAGATAAACCCCATAGTAAGAGGTACTTTGGGAACAAGGTAGTGCATCGTCGTCCTGTCTGGTCACTTCATTTTGAGTGGGGACTGTGAGATTTTTATGGGATTAGAGCCACAGAAGGGCCTTCATTCTTCAACATCATCTCTTTCCTTTATCCCCTCGTGCCACCTTTGAAAGGACGTGCGGCGAGGAGACACAGGCTGGCAAGGGAGACACAGGACAGAGTGTAAGAGGATGTCCTTGATTCCCTATCACTTTTTTTTTTTGCATCCAAGACCAGCCCACGCCTAACTAGTGAATGTTCAGAGCAATGTGCTCCTGGGAGCACTCGGTAGTACGGACAGCTATAGAGTGATTTCGGAAAGAAAGCGTTTTCACCAGTGGGCATCATTCTCTCACGCTTGTGCTTGGTGACGATTTGTGCTCCTCCTTTTCCCACACAGCACTCCCCTTCTCAGAGGAGCCCCTGATGGTGGCAGCCACTGCACTCCTTTCTGCCTGTCTGCATGGTGTAAGCTTACCTAGAAGCCTGTGGGCTTTTTTCCCAAGGTTTGGTGTTTGCAGTTCAAATGCCCATCTTGAAAATACAAATGCACATCTCACAGAACTACCTTCACAGGGAACTAATGTTCATGGTATTCTTTCTTCTCACAGATGGTTCAAAAATATATACCTTGTCTTTTAAGTTAAGAGGTTTGCAAATTAACAAACTTGGTATTTGAAAGGTATTTTCTAGGAATGTCTATTTTTTTTAGCCTTGGAAATAATACATAACTTGGGAGGTTCCCCATAGCAAGGCACACTGTGTATAAATGAGTGTTGTCTCTGGCCACTATGGACTGATGATTCCTCCTGATACGTAGTATTTACTACTCCTAGGAAAAGAAGCACAGGGGTGTCAGCCAAAGAGCTAAAATCATAGAATCACAGAACGGTTTGGGTTGGAAGGACCTTAAAGCCCATCCAGTTCCAATCCCCCTGCCATGGGCAGGGACACCTTCCACTAGACCAGGTTGCTCCAAGCCTCATCCAGCCTGGCCTTGAACACTCCCAGGGATGGGGCATCCACAGCTTCTCTGGGCAACCTGTTCCAGTGCCTCTCCACCCTCTCCGGGAAGAACTTCTTCCTGATATCTAAACCTCCCCACTTTCAATTTAAACCCGTTACCCCTGGTCCTGTCACTACAGACCCTTGTAAAAAGTCCCCCCCAGCTTCCTTGTAGCCCCTTCAGGCACTGGAAGGTGCTATAAGGTCTCCCCGGAGCCTTCTCTTCTCCAGGCTGAACAAGCCCAACTCTCTCAGCCTGTCCCCAGAGCAGAGGGGCTCCAGCCCTCGGAGCATCTCCGTGGCCTCCTCTGGACTCACTCCAACCAGTCTGTATCCTTCTGATGCTGAGGGCTCCACAGCTGGATGCAGCACCCCAGGTGGGGTCTCACCAGAGCAGAGCAGAGGGGGAGAATCCCCTCCCTCGCCCTGCTGTTTATTACAGGATATATATAACTGCATTATATTACGCAGTTTATGAAATGATTGCGGTAAGAAATGAAAACACTGAGCTTTGAGTTGTGGTAACAATGTCTTGTAACTGTGTTTTATTTTACAGATATGGCCTCTGAATGACTTCGGATTTCTACGTGCAAGCCCTAATGGTCATAGATTTCTTGATGACTGAAAGATTTAAGTGACTATTGCCAGCTTTCATAATATTTTCTACTGAAGTCATGGAACTATTTTTGTTTAGAATAAACACAAGTGTTACTTGACAAAGATGTCTCGGAGATTACGTCTAATGTGGAAGTGGGAATGATACGCTCTGTCATCAGCGAAAACGATAGGCCTTTCACTGGGACTAGCCAGAGGAAACAGAGTCAGTGCTTGGATTTATTAGAAAGCTTTGGTTTTTACTACAAGCCGAGGTTAGCAAGGACTGACAACAAGGGATGAAAAAGGCGCAGTGTCCCACGTCGGCCATGCCTGCGCGAGCGAGTAGTTACTGAAAACAGCACCAGTGGGGTTTTGGATCTGCTGGTCACTTGCAGGCTTTTCCTTAAATGGGCTGTAGTTTGGCCTGGTGGCCTGTGTGCTCCGTAGGGCCCAACGCACAGCTTCCTGGTTAGTCTTCGTCTAAGGAGTGAAGACTGCGCTTGTCTGGATGGGGAGAGTTGGTGCTCTGGCTCCAAGCTGAAAAGTTAACGTAGATGTAGTGGAGGGACTGGCCCTGCCGCCAGCCTCTTGGATCTGCAAGTCTCGGCCGCCTCTTTCCAAGGCTCAAGTCCTTGTGAGGATTGAATGACGTTAAATATTTAGGGTAGAAATAGAAGACGTTCCCGTTTCCCACTAAAACGCACCTTACTCCTCATTATCTTCACGGCATTCAGATGTGTGCCCCCTGATTAAATTCTGTCATCGGAGCCATTAAAAGGATTTAACCTAAGAGGCAGGGCCTAAGGTATCATTGACACAGACTGAAATTGAAAGTTACTCTGTTGTTCGCTGGGAAAGAAATGTCATTTAGATCACGAGATACATTCCGGTTGTACAGAACTTTGTGTTCTGCCCTGGAGGTTTTTAATAACTACCTCTTTAGCTGTGGGAGGAGAAAACCCCAGCCTTGGCTCTGCAGAGCCGTGCTAGCCAATGGGCACGTCTCCTTCCTTAAGCCCGACCAAACTGGTTCTTGTAGTGCTGCCCCTTTTCTTTAAGGTACGTTTCTTAGCAGATACTGTCCCCTGTTTGTGCAGTCTTTCAAGCAGTTCGTAACAACGTGCTCCACTGAGACAGTCAGCGAAGGATCTCGATAACCAGCGAACACGTGTCACAACAAACCAAAGATACGTCTACGGTTTCGCTCCTGAAGACAGCGTAATTCCCACCGCATCGGCACGAGAGACTGTAACGCTGCTCCTCTGCCAAAAAAGAGAACAAAAAAAGCCTTCAGTGCTCGGGCAGAATCAAGAATTGATTTTGGAGCTTCTTCACAAAGCTGCTCGTAATAACCAAACGTAATTCGTGTGCACGACCCTCCCGCGGCTGGAGCACCAACAGCGCTACCTGTGCTTCCGGGTGTTGCTCAGAACGTAAGCGTAGCCTTAAAAAGTGTCCCAGGGACTGCGAGGCCTTCGCTGGCCAAACAGCCAGGGTCAGCGCAGCCTCTTCAAAAGGGCAAATAACGAAACGGTGCCCAGCGGTGCCAAGAGGCGTTAGAAGGCCCGCCCCAGCGAGTCCTTCAGGACGAGCCCTTGCGAGAGCAGCTCAGAACCAGGGGGTGTTGGTTACACACACAGATGGTTCCGAAGAGACTGCTAACACAGGAAACAAACATAGACAGAAGAAAGTAGATAGGATTTTCCCCCCCTAGCTTAAAAATACCCACCACCGAACACAAACATGAACAGTAAAAATAAATAAAAATCAGCCACTCATCCAAAAAGCAGGTAAATGATAAAAGCTAAGAATAATATAAAGGACAGAGGTAGCACACTGCCAGATGAAAAAAAAATCTGCATGAAGACACCTGCATCCTACCATCACAGAAAGAGCAAGAAGATGCAGGAGAGATTTGGGAATAATCTGGCAATCTATGTAAATATACCAAAAGAAGAGAGCTTTGGGAAAAGGGGTACTGCAGGCAGGGCAGGGGGGAAGGAGAGATGAGGAAGGAGCACAAAACGACTACCACAAAGTTCCAATTCAGGCAATCGCAGGGAACAGAATAGCTAAATCTGAGGAGAAAATGAAGTAGGACTTGGGGTAAGACAACACATTGGTAGGAGAGGCAGAAAACCCAGGGCGCAGCCGCAGCGAGAACGGAAGCCGCTGGGGACAAGCGGTAAGGCGCGCGTACCTTCGTTCCAGGACATATCCTCGAGATGAACCTGCGCGTGTAGCGGCCCTTCTTCTGCCAGACCGTCTGCTGCGAAGGAAACACGACAGCCGGTCAGCCCCGCCAACACGGGGGTCTTCCTGGGAAACCAACACCCTCGCGTACCGAGCCGCCAGTCTGGCCCCTGTCTGAGTCGCGCCCAGGCCCTGCTCTCAGATAAAAACACACTTCTCTCAAGTTTTAGCGTCCGCGTGTCTGCCTCAGCGGGAACCAGACCTGCTGCAGCCCGGAGAAGATGCATTACCAAAACAAAGCCAGTACTTTGGCGCATCCCAAACAATTCCGCGAGGGCAGAGGCAACCCTTCTTTGCTATAAACGCCTTCTAGGAGCCTGGCTGTTACCTCCCGTTGCACAAGCTGAAAGTGGCAGCGTCTGCTTGCCTCTGCGTCTCACAAAATCACGGCGTGGTTGGGGTCAGAGGGGACCTCTCCAGCCCGCCTGCACGAGCGGGGGCGGCAAGAGCAGCCCGCCCAGGGCCACGGCCAGGCCGGTTCTAAATACCTCCACAAGCCCTCCCGCAACCCACCTCCCTTCAGAAAGGAGAGGCTAAATGCACCCCTCCCAGTAAGCACCACCTGAGTGCAGAGATGCCTGGGAGGACACCACCAAGACCCCTGCAGAAGGATATTCCTCACAAAAGGTAAACTGCAAAAACACTGTCAGGGGAAAACCGGTCCCAGTGTTCTCCTGTGACAGAGTCGCTCAGCACAGCAAGAAGGTCAGTTCTGGCCTGCACCTCTGAGATCTGCTGCCGTTTGGTCCCCCAGGTTCTTTCAGCACTGAGCACAGCACGAAGTGTAACGTGCAAAATCCAACTGAAATGATCAAACAGCAAGACAAACAGGGTTCCTTGCCGTTCATCAGCATTCGCATTCGAGGTGCAAAGTTCACATCAACTTCTTTAACGTAATAATTTCAGATTTTGTCAACAAAGTTGCAAGTGAAGCCATAAAAGGCAGGATGTATAGAGAAAAGGGACATAAACCCCTTTACAGCTTCCTACACAAAACCTCCCAGCTGCTGCCTGACACCTGGAAGCTCCAACTCCCCAAATGCTGCGTTTTACAGAACCAGAGATGCCCGACAGCTGATCGTTAGCACATGCACAGAGATGCCTTACACTGGGCAAGACTCAGGAGCTTAGTGCTTATTAGAGGTTTAAAT